GTGTTGGACATTTGACTTTTTAGAAACTATTCCCTTTTATGCAAAGAATCTACGTATTATTGCATTTTTAAAATTTTTGTTTATTTTATAGCTTGAACTTTCATAGACTGACTTCCAGTGGATACTAAGTGGGCTACAGCATGTTACCAATCACTTGCAAGCAAAAAAGGTATCATCCATTAAATCCATGGCTGGAGCAGGAGGAAGGCAGGCAACAGATAGACTAAGTGATCACCAGCACCCATGAAATGTTCATTATCTAAAATAATAGGCTATGTTATATTGTATCTACTCTAGCTTTTTAAGGAAGTATTTGGTACCAACAAAATGACCTAGGAAAAGACTTCTAGTATATTGGGATTTGGAAAAATGAAGGGGGAAAAAATTGCACAGGAAGAGGAAAGCATGATTGTTGCACAATTGAAAGGAGCACCCACATGGGTGAAATAATGATTCCACAACTATCTCTAATGTATTTTAAACATAAATCCATCAACAAGAACTAATCTCAAAGAAAATGCCTCAAAATTTAGAGCAAATATTAAAATGGGTCGTTCTTAGAGCTACACACACATACAGCCACATACAAGTATATACACACCCATATATTATGTATTGTAATTTCAAACAAGGGTATAAAGTTACAATGTATACAAAGTATATGATGTTACAATTGCAATTGCTGAGGTATGCAATGCATCTCTATGTCCATAATCCCTTGAAAAAGAAACTCTTTTATGTGAATGGGGGGAGGGGGGGAGGGAGAGGATGTCTCTTTTAGAGACATCTGCATGACAAAAATAACTTAATGCTCGACTCTTAGTTGTCCTGGTCCCAGCCTCCAAAGTCAGCCAAGTTTGTTTTTTGTTCACCAAACTTCTTTCTGTACCTTTCCCCCCCTCAGAAACCCAGAGAAGCTACGTAATTTATGTGCCCAAGGTCAAGGAAGTAGTAGTGAGGGACAGTCAAGATATGAACCTAGGTCCTCTGCTGCCAGAGCCATACCAGAGCCATTGTGTTCTCAGCCTCCCTCAACAATTATGTGTGCACATATATAAGGTAGAGGTGATGAGACAGTTGTTTTTGTGAAGGGGGGGAGGTTTGGGGTGTGTTGTTGGCTAAGAATCAATTAGTCCAGAGTTGATATGGTTACCAAAAATGCTAATGCAATCTTAAATCAAATTAACAGAAATGAGTCCACAACGACTTGGTATGTTATAGTCCTGCTGTAATATGCCCTAGTTGGACCACACTCAGAGTACTGTTTGATTCTAGGCACCACATTTTAGGAAGGGCAGAAGCAAGCTGAACTAGTTCAAAGGAGGATGAACTGTATAACAAAGAGACCGGAAACCAAGCCACAGGACTGGTGACAGAAGGAACTTAGGAAATTTAGCCTAAATAGTCATAGGGACATAACTGCTGTCTTAAAAGACTTGAAGGGGTTATTATGTAGAAGAGAGATTAGATGTAAATGACCATCTATGAAGATCACTGTGCAGCTAGGCATTGGGAGAGAAAAGAAGTTCAAATGAGGTTCATACAAGGAAAAATTTAACAACTCAGTGCTTCCCAAAAAGTAGAATGGCTGTTTAGGGAGGTAGTGAACTTTTCACCTTCCAGAAGGGTTGAAAGACCATTTCATCCAAGACGTTCAGTTAACAGTCGGCCTAGGCCTCTCCAAGGGTCATTTCCACTCTTGAGATTCTACGATTCTACATGTCAGTTTAGCCACAATGCTGTCTGCATTCACTCTATAATGTGTTCTCTGATCCCAGCTCTGCTACTTAACTTAATGCTTGTGTAACTTTGGATAACTCATTTGACCTCCCTGGACCTCTGTTTCTTCATGCGTAAAATAAAGACATTGTACTAAATCAAAGGTTCTTAACCTGGGACCCATGAACTTACTTGTTAAATATTTTGATAACCATATTTCAAAATAATTGGTTTCCTCTATAATCCTACATATTTTATCTTACACATTTAAAAGCTTTATGCTAAAGAGTTCGAAGGTTAACAAAGGGATTCATGACACACAAAAAGTTAGCTCCTGGACTAAAGGACCTCAAAGGGCCCTTCCAGTTCTAAAATCTATAAGGGTCTAAAGTCTATTAGGACTAATCTTAAAAGTTAAAGTGATTTAATCGTTTCTGTAATGCTTTGAGAAGTGAAGGAAACCAGGAAAGAGAGTGGCCAAGGGGTCTCTCCCAGGAAGACATCTAATGAGAAGAGTTTGAAGATTTAACTCCAGGAACCTCAGGTACTGATCAGAGTAGACTAACTCATACAAGCCTATGAGGCCAGCAGGTTCCCCCTCTACAAACCCTCCCACCTTCAATCTTCTCTGAGACTGCCGCCCTCCAACCAGAATCCAATTTCTACCCCAAGACTACCAGATATATACCTTATGAGTGATTATGGTTGGGGGGGAGGACATAATTTATGCCATTTTCTTGGCATCCAGTGATTTCTTTCCACAGTAGCCACCCTTTTGAGGTCATGGAACTTTTCTCCAAGCTTCTATATAGTTTCTACTTCTAGTTACGAATATCCTGACAAAACTGTTATTGCATCATAAGAGATTACATATGGCACTCTATCAGCAAAATTTATTGTGGCTGCAATAGATCCTTTAATAGTTGTATATTCTAATTCTACATTTACATTTTAATCTACTCTCAAACTGAATAGCTTTGCAAAGGCAACTGAAATGGTTCATGACTACTAAAACCTGAAGACTAATTTAATATTAGAACTTTAACAATCTGAGAGCATATCTGAAGCTACATATAACTTCACTTCAATTATTTATGATAGCAGTTTAAAGAAAAAAGAGATGAAGTAATAGCAATACCTAAAATTAAGCAGAGTTTGGTAAACTTAAAAGACAATGAATTCAGCTAGTACTCAAATACTTTTTGGGTAGGGGGCAGCTAGGTGGCACAGTGGATAGAGCTCCAGCCTTGGAGTCAGGAGGACCTGAGTTCAAATTTGGTCTCAGACACATAACACTTACTAGTTGTGTGACACTGGGCAAGTCACTTAACTCCATTGCCTCTTCAAAAAAAAAGTAAATACTTTTCGGGTAGAAGAGGGGAACTGGAATTTCTTTGGTTTGGTTTTGAGGCCAAGACCTCCCCCCCCCCACCAAATATATTTCTTTCAGTTGTGACCTCTCTATACAATTAGACACCTTATACTTTTAATCATTCACAAAACCATGCCATCTTTATCTCATTTTGATTTTAAATGCCCAAATTCGTTAATTTTCTCCTACACTACTAATCTGCTCATTGTTTAAGGCATTTGCAAATATATATATATACATATATATATATATATATATATATATATATATATACATATATATATACACATACATGATGCATTTTAGAACTATTATTTTCAAAATACATAAACTTTTCTAAAACATTTTCAGAACTTAACAATACATATCTATTCTGCTCAATAATTGTTTTTCAACCTTGTTCTAAAGGAAGTATTTGCTAATACAAAGAAATATATTTAGTTCTTATGAATCTGAAACTCTCAATTTTAATACTGTTGTTCAATCGTATCTGATTCCTTCGTGACCCCATTTTTGGGGTGTTCTTGGCAAAGGTATTGGAGTGGTTTGTCATTTCCTTCTCCAGCTCATTTTACAGATGAGGAAACTGAAGCAAATGGGGTGAAGTGACTTTCCCCGAGTCAGACAGCTACAAGTGCCTGAGGCCAGATTTGAACTCAGGAAAATGAGTCTTTCAAACTCCAGGCAAGACAGGCAATCCACTGCGCCACCTAGCTGCTCGAATTTTAACATTACATTGATCTAAAATAAAATTTACCATAACACCAACCAACAAACAAACCTCCAGGGGCCAGTGAAAACAGGAATTAGCAACACGGCAGAAAGTTTCCTAGTTTCTGAGGTTTTGTGAGTTACAAAACCGGAAAGCCGGCGATCTATAATCACTAAAAGGAAAGGAATGGGTGTTGTAGTCAAAGTGTGAAAAGCTAACTGATCTTTAAAATCCACTCTGTACATCACTGTCAGAGTCATGTGCAATAATGCAAGTACTGAGCAAAACGCTTATTCAGTAAGGAAAACTCTAACCTGCTCTTTCATAACATCCTTTAAGAGCTCCTAAGAAGCCAGTTTTAAAAGCGTGACCATAATTGTGCGTCCCACTAAAGACTCACTTTAAAACCACACTCAAGACACGTGTTTTGTGACCGCTTCCCTAAAAAGCAATTTTTCGTGGGGAAGAAAACCGATGTGGAAAGCAGTTATGTGAAGTTATCACTGAACATCTGAGGTCAGTATATGACATAAATTTCTGCAGGAGACGAACTTGTCCAAGTTCCAGGGCTAACACAAGACACAGAATAACTGGGAGAGCACGCCTTCAGCAGTGTTTGTTTTCAATCAGCGTGGAGGGGGGGAAGAGGGGGGGTGGATTTGGGAGTCGGAGGACCTGGGTTCAAAACCCACCTGTACTACCTCGGGCAAACCCTTCCCCGCTCCGGACCTAGGTCTCCATCCCGGACCTTTCTAAACCTTCTGTGGACTATTTCACTTTTATCCTGTACAGAAGTTGCTGGTACAGAGTTGTTTGCATCTTTTTCTCCCCCCATTCCTCCCCCATTAGACTGTCAGCTCCTTGAGGACAGGTCTTTGACCTTCCTAGGCACCCCCGGGACTTAGTGCCTGGACAGCACGGGTCGGAAGGACCCACGCGCTCCCTTTTGGGACTTAAGACTGACTGTGAACTCCAGGAGGGCAGGGACCGTCTTTCGCCTCTTTTTGTAGATCACCGGGCAGTGCTTAGCACTGGGCAAGGCTGCACACAGCAGGCGCTTAATTCACGCGGACTGACTTGACCCACTGCGTCCAGCCCGCTTTGCGCCCGCTCTCTCCCGGCGCCCGGCTCGGGGAAGAGGGAGCGCCCCGACGCCGTGCCGCGCCCCGGCCCGCCCCGGCCCCGCGCCCCGGGTACCTTCGGCCAGCTGCTCCTCCAGGGTGACCTGGTAGCGGCCCACGGCGAACACGCGGACTCCCACGGAGGAGGCTCCCGAGCCGGCTCCGGAGCCGCCGCCGCCGCCGCCGCCCCGGACAGCCCCCTCCGCCGGCCCCGCCGCCGCTGCCCTCCGACTTGGGCATCCGGGAGAACTTCTTCATGGTGTGGCCGGCGCGAGGCCCCCAAGGCCCCGGGAGCCGCAGGCTGCGGGCGCCGAGAGCCTCACATCCCGCGCGGGCGCGCGCGGGGACACCGAGGCCCGCGGCTCGAGGGCCCCCCGCTGCCCCGCACGGCGAGCGGGCTCCGGGGGGCCTGAGCGCGGAGGACGGCGGGGAGAGAGGAAGAAGCGGAGCGAGCGCGGCGGGGCTGCGGAGCTGTGGCGCTGCTGCTGCCCCTGCTGCCGGGGGTGTCGCCGGGGCCGCCTCCCGCCCTCCCTGCCTGCCACCCGGGGATGTGCCGTCGGCGGCCGCGGCGCCGGGACTAACTGCTCCGAGAGGAGCACAGCGCAGGCGCAGCGCCTAGCGCCCTCCGCCGGAAGTGACGCCCCCGCCTCCGCGTCACGTGGAGGGGCGGGGGCGGGGCGCAGGAGGCGGAGAGAGGGAGGGGATGCTCCGGGGGCGTGGCCTTCCGAGGCTTAGGCTGCGCGGCGGTCCGCCCCCTCCCCCGGACCTCAGAGCTGGGCCCCGCCCACCCCCGCCCCACCATCCTACAGCTGAGGAAACTGAGGCCCGAGGCCCGCGGTGGCCTTGGCTCGGAACTTGGACGGGTTCGAGAAGCCAGACGGGGCTGGGAGGGACCCAGCCTCCTCCTGACTTGGGAGGAAACTGAGGCGCAGAGCAATCCAGGTCTGCCCCCACTAAATAAAAGCGCCCCTTCCCCGGCTTCCTTTCAGGCCCGCCTCCTCCAGGAAGCCCTTCCTGCTTCCCCTCCATCCTAGTGCCTTCTCGCCTATTCATTCTAAACGCGCCTTGTTTGTGCGAAGCCGTTGGCTTGTCGTCTCCCACGTTAGACTGTCAGCTCCTTGAGGGCAGGGCCTGGTTTTTGCCCTTTTTTGTACTCCCCCGCCCCCCGTGCTTTGCATAGTGCCTGGCACACAGCAGGTGCTCCATAAATGCTAGCTGACTGACTTTAAACGATTGCTATGCTTCTATCCACCTATTTATTCATTCCTTAGATGTTAAGTATCTCCTGTCCTATTACTAAGGGCAGCTGGGTGGCGAAATGAATGGAGTGGGGGAGCCTGAAATCAGGAGTTCAAATGTGGTCTCAGACACTTACTAGCTGTGTGGCCTTGGGCATGTCACTCCCCCCTGTTTGCCTCAGTTTCTTCATTTGTCACATGAGCTGGAGAAGGAAATGGCAAACCACTCCAGTATCTTTACCAAGAAAACCCCAAATGTGCGGTCACACTGAAAAAAAAAATGCCTGAACAACAGTGCCATGTTTATTAGGCACTATCTGATAGGAGAATTTACTATGAGAAATGTTTAAAAAGTAAATCTTTTTTAAAATAACATTTCACATGTCAAAGGTTGAATCTTAGGTCTTCCTAAATCTGAGGCTGGCTGTCCTTTATGGCAGTTTCCTTTTAAGAGCTTACCTTATGACTGGGAATAAGAAAATTCCATGCTGTATAACCTGAGGCAAATCTCTACCTCTCAATCCATCAACTTTCTCCTCTGGAAATAATCATGAATTACTTATTAAGCTGCTTGAGGGCAAGGACAATTTCATTCTCAGTATTTGTATTCCCAACATCCAGCACAGTGACTGACCCATAGTAGGAGCTTAATAGACGCTTACTAATCCAGCTACCTTGCAGACAGTTGATATTTTTACAGCCCTTGAAGTCTTGCAAAGCCCTTTAACTTATTGGATCCTCACAATATTACTTTAAGGCAGGGTTTATAGGTAGGAATCACAGGCATCCTTATCTTCCATTTACAAAAAAAGAAACAAATCTAGGCTGCTTAAATGATTTTGATCACAATCTGACAGTTTGTAAATGACAGAGATCAGATTAGAACCCTGGTCCCTGATGCCTCCATGCTAAACCTTTTCACTACAACTGGGGGAATTGGACTCAATCATCTCTAAAGTCCTTTCCAGCTATAAATTTATACGTGGTATGTTCCATCGAGTACAGACAAATTTTAGAAGAGTTTGGAGGAGGGAGACATCAGCAAGGATTTCCTGGAAATGGGATGTGAATTAGACTTGGAAGGATGGGTGAGATTTCAGTAGGTAAAAGAAAGGAAGAGCATTCATTTCAAGGAGTGGTTCAGGGAGTGAAGGTGTTTAAACCCAGTATTTCAATTCCTCTTATTCTGAGTATTTTAAGGCTCAGTCCAACCACAAGGAAGTAATTCCTGACGTTATTTTATTTCATTTTTTTATTTGACAATATAAACTGAGATGTTGGATCTGATGATACAAGTTTAGGATCATAGATCCAGAACTTGAAGAAATGTCAGAGATCATCAAGTCCAACCCCCTTATTTTACAGAGGAAGAAAAATGAGACCTAGAAAAGTGCCCAAGGTCACATAGATAACAAATAAGAGAGTCTGAATTCTGAACACAGGTTTTCTGATTCCAAATCCAGTGGCATCGCAGGGTACCCAACCATCCCACCAATCAAAAAGCATTTGTGGAATACACATTAAGTGCCAGATTTCTGGGCTGATGGGGCATATAAATATGAAAAGGGAAATGATCACTATACTTAGGAGTAAGTATATGCTGAATAAATACAAGTTGGTTAGGTAAGGACCTATTTCCAAGGCAGTTGGGGTTATTAAGAAAGTCTTCATTCAGAAGGTGATGCTTCCTTGTGCTAGAAGGAAGTGAGAGATTCTAGAGTACAAATGAGGAGGTAAAAAGGGGGGGGAGGCCATTTTAGGGTCAGCTAGGTGTCTCAGTGGGTAGAGCTTCGGCATTGGAGTTCAGATCCAGCCTCAGACATTTAACACTTACTAGCTGTGTGACCCTGAGCAAGTCACTTAACCCAGCTTGCTCACCAAAAAAAAAAGAAAGAAAGAAAAAAAAAATGAGGAGGTAGCTTCCCTGGACATAGGGAGAAACCAGTACAAAAGTACAGAGTTGGAAATGGAGTACCATGTGTGGGAACAGAGAGAAAGGCAGTTTGACTGAATAAATCTAGAGTATGGGAAGAAGAATAACATTATTATTGTTACAGGTTGAGAAGAGCGTTAAAAGCCAAAGAAATTTATATTTTAAAATATTTGATTATAAATAAATTTCTATTTTACTCTGAGGGAGTAAGCAACTCCTAAAGTTTATTTATAGGGGAATCATGTGGTCAGATCACCACTTGATAGTGAGTTAAAGCCTTAGACCATAAGTAGTACCAAGTAGAAAACTCTTTAATTTTCCCATGGTCATGTAATAATTTTTATAAGCTCTTACCATATTGATTGTTTAACTTCTATAACATTACTGTAACATTCAGTACCATCTCATCACTATAAGATCATACATTTATGTGGTTGGTTGGTTTTACTACCAAAGGACTTTGACATTTATTATCAAATTTTATTATCTGCACACCCTGGAAAGTTGTGTAGAGTTAGGCGTTTGCTCCTCCCCCAATTTATAGTTCAGAAAATTGAGAAACAGAAGTGAGATTAAGTATTCACCCCTAAGGTGAAAAATCTAGTTTATGGAAGAATATTGTCTTGATAACTATGGGAAAATAGCCTATATATATATATATATATATATATATATATATATATATATATATATATATATATGTGTGTATATGTATATATATATGTGTGTGTGTGTGTGTGTGTGTATATATATGTGTGTATATGTATATATATATGTGTGTGTGTGTGTGTGTGTGTGTGTATATATGTGTGTATATGTGGATTGAGATACCCAAAAGGAAAACTCAGAAGAAGAGAGTATTTCTAAAACATGCATAAGCAGACCAGGGGGAAATGGCTTCACCAGTAAAATAGTACCTAGAGGAGATGAAATGAGGGGAAAAATGAAATAAGATCGCTGGAGGGGAAAAAAAAAACCAAAGAATAAGTAAGTTAGGTGGTAAAGTGGTGAAATCTTTGAAAATTAGAATGGACCACGTAGAACTTAGTGACTTAGTAAGACAACAAAAAAAAATGAAATAAAATGGGAAGTTTTTTTTCTTTTTAAACAAAAGAAAATGTGAGGTATCTACTCTGAAAAACAACTGCCCTGGAAAATGGGTTGAAGAGAGATTGAGAATCATCATACTACCTGGAAACTATGACCAAAAAAAAGGCTGGCGGGGAGTAGGATGGTGACTGGATTCCACATTTCAAGCAGGCATAAATGAAAAATGCTCAGATTTGTGGGTATGGGGCATCAAATGGAAATACAAAGAATACACAGATCACCTGCTCAAAGAAAGCCCAAAATGAAAACCCCCAGGAAAACCATAGCCAATACACAAAGTTCCTGGTCAAAGGAAAAATATTGCAAGTAGCAAAAAGATATAATTTAAGCTGAGAAGAAACTGTAAAATGCAAACACAACAGTCAGAAGAAATCTAGAGTGGCAAATACATTTGAGCAATTAGACAAGTGCTAAATGATTGAAGTACTTACATTTTAATAGAGAAGAGACAAATGATGCTTCAGAATGATATCTTCAAGGCCATAGACAAATAAGACAAAGGGACTGTCATGGTTTTATGCCTCTTTGAAAGTACAGATTGCTAGAGATATGAGAGAACATTCCTAATGCACTCCTTCCTGGAGGTAAGAGGTCCATAAGTATTGCATATCGCGTATGTTGTGATCAGTTGTGCCGATTTTTTTCCTCCTATTTTTCATTATTTCGTTTTTAAAAATATTGTTTGTTATATGGAATAGCTGTAAAGGGGAGAGGAAGAGTACTGGGGAAGACTTTGATATGTAAGCAACAAAATATATCAAGATATCAAAAAACATTAAATACTTAATTTTAATTTAAAAATAAATAGGGATTATTTCATTATTTGTATTTCTATCGCCTGAGCCTAGCAAAGTGCCTGGAGCATAGCCTGACCTTAAATGCTTCTTGATTAAGAGAGGAAAGAAAAAGGATGAATAAAGGAATACTATGAGAAGAAAAAGAGGGAAGAAGGAAATGAAATATACTTATCTCTTAAATAGGACACGTGAGAAGAAGGGTTTACAAAGTAAAGGAGTTAGGAGATTGGCATTTCGTGAAATTTGCTTTTATCTTGAACTGTACAAAGGTGAGTTACAGAAATACACACGTACACAGAGTTTGATATAGCAATATATTACACCAAACAAGGAAAGACAAAGGATCAGGAAATGGGAGAGAATGTTTTAAGAAAAAGGGAAAGAATAGTCTCAAGCAAAACAAACTTCAAGGATGTTATAAAGTGGGGATGAAAAGGAACCAGTGTTTGGGGGCAAGAGAAAGAGGAGAAACAATCAAATGAAAGATCATTACAGCTAAGGATCATTGCTGTTAATCATATTCCTTCTCTTTCACCATCCACTGTGTGAAAAAAAAAAGGGG